AGAAACTGTTATAATAAAATTTATCACTTAGAGATGGGACAACTGTTTGCATTGCTCTAACAGTTCATAGAAGTTCTTATCGCTGTTCAAATAATATATAAAAAATAATAAAATATTTAGTTTATTTAATTTCTCAATAAATAGATTTCATAACTATTCAATCTTGAAAAATATTATTATAAACTAAGTTATTATAATGATATTCTTTAAGCCAATGTACGATAAATAAATATCAATTTTATCCCATATCAGGCTTGAAATATAACTTTAATTGAGAAGTTGTACAGAAACATCAAACATGTTATAATGTAAAGAGAATGACACGTTTCATATAATAGTACTTTTTTTTGAAAAATTCGTGGCCTATTTTATGTTGTATTGTTGGTATTTTGATAGATAAATCATCTATTCTATTATGAATCTATATAATGAAATATTATCATCAAATACCATATTCAAACAATGAAGTTCCAATTCGTCGTACAACTTATTCTCCGGCAACGTGTTGCTTCCATAAATCGTGAGACACGTACGACTTTTGTGTAGCCTCAGACCACTCAATTTTAGCACAAGGTACAATGGCCTCTTCTCTTTTTGCTACATAACTTTTCCAATTTCCTGATAGATTCGTAGTTCAATTTTACCCAACATTTTCCACACATGAATTTGTATTCAAGGTTAGAGAGGTCATCTTTTTTATATAAAAACCGAACCGAAATCGCCTTCATTTATAGACAATTCCGACCTCATGTGTGAATTTTGATGAAATATGAATAGATAGAAAAAATATTGAGAAAGGTATATTTTTGGGTCTGTCCGAAGTAAATTGACTCATTTTCTTAAATTAATTCAGAATATAGTTTCGCCTTTGAAATCAATATTTTGCATAATAATTGTAATAAATGATTTAATATATTTGCTATAGTTATGTTAATTTGAGGCTTCTGTAATGTCAAATTTGTAATATGTATGTATGCTATATATATATATATATATATATATATATGTATATATATAATATAATTATTTTATTATATATACACATATAAATATCAATTCTATCACCCCGTTTCGGCTTGACGTTAAGTTTTGTCACACCCTGTATATGTGCTTTAAATTACTAGATTTTTCAGTTTTTGAAATATATCATCACCTATAAATATCATACATTTCATAACTATTGCATTTCTTATAAATACGAAAATTACATTTTTTCTTAATTCACAAAAAATTTGTAACTATAACAAAATGATAAATCCAGATATAACAGAAAACGATATAAAAAACTATTACTAGTTTTCTTTCTGATTATTGGAAAACTCTAACTTGTCTTGGTTGTCGACGTCAAAACAAAGTTAATAAAACTGAATCCTCCTAAGTTGAAATATATTAGTAATGTCGGATCGTACAGAAGTTGTAAGTTGTGCAGGATGCCTTCGAAATTACTTATCCAAAAAGTTTTTCACGTGTTGCTTCTGTGAAGGGAATAATATAAACTTGGCATTTTGATACTTTTGTCACATGGGATTGTATGCGTGTTCACCTTTGCATGTCAATGAATAAAAGTAAGATGTGATATAAGTAAAAATTGACAGTGAATATACAGACTTATTAAATAATCTACTAGATCAATGGTAATATAAAATGTATTTCATTTTATTAAATCTCAAGCTATTATTTCCTAAAACTTCAATTTTTAATGCAGATTTCAAAATAATATGTAATATATATATATATATATATATATATATATATATATATATATAAGAATATGTCTAACATTATAACATTGAACCTACTTTTATTCGTTTATTAAGTTGACCAAATGTCTAATTGCAATACATAACATTGCATTGTGAGATTATTAGATAGTTTATTATATTTTGAATTATTGTTTAATTAAAGTTACTCTAGGAACCTTTTATATGACATTTAAATTATTTTCCATAGCGAATTTGGCGTGAACTATGCAAATTCACACAATGAGCTTTTCTGCGGTAGATTTCAGATTATACTAAAGCTCTGAATTCCTAAAATTATAAAATATTCGTAAAGCATTGGAATGAAAATGGCTTTGTTTCATTTGCAAGTTTTGAATAAACTCTTATATAATGAGAATTTTGTAAGTGATATATGTGGTTTTATTTATTTTGTTTGTAAAATCTATGTTTGAACGGTAATTGAATTCATCACCTTGCATTCAAAATTTAATTTACCATTTTTAATTTATCTCACATTTACATATACTTAGAGTTTTTTTTTTTTAAATAAATCAGAGAAAATATCATTCAAACAGGTATCATGCACTTACTACTTTTAGTATTTTTAGATGAGTGACTTAAGTTTTTGTTTTAGAAAATTACAGCAATCTCGAGTATATTCTTTGCTTTTAAATTAAATTACTAGCCCCTGATGTTGTTATCTTCAACTTTTAAAAGTTTTATTATGAGACAATGAAAATATGCTTTATTCATCTTGCTAAATTCTTTTCACAAATTCTTGTGAAATATTTAAATAAAAAAGCAAATTTATCTCTGGTACCGCATTATAATCATCGGTCTATGTGGTTAAAGAGCTTTATGGTTTGGAATTCATCTTGATACAACTTTCAAAGGAATTCATTTCAGAAAGCTTCACAGCGCGGAAGTTCAAGGTGAATTATCGTATTCAAACATTTCGCATTCATTCATATATAAAGGACTTCTAATACTGCTTAGAGAATCATCTTGATTATTTCACTCTCATATTTGTATTAATAACTACTGCAAAAATATTATTTTTAAGAAATTGGGAGCTATATAAATGTTTATTTCTGCAATGAACAATGATTTATATTGTTTCAATTTGTGAAATGATGCGAATGAGGAAGTAAGCATATATATACATATATATATGTATATATATATATATATATATATATTCATGTGTATAATTCTTGATCAGCTGCTTTGTAATCTTAGCAGACGATTTATTTCATCTTTATTATGCCAGGCGCCAAGTGTCTAAGCTCTTCTAGAGCATTTGCACGGCTTCTATTTTGCACCCACGGATGAAATATGTAATACAACTGCTAAATTTGTGTACTTTAACACATATAATATGCAAATATAATTTAAATTACTTTGTGCAATGATAAATCATTGTGTATGTAGTTTAAAATAAAATATTGTCAAATCTTAGGCGCAACCATGGTGCAACGTTAAAGCTTTCAATATAACAAAACTTGTAATTGATATAGGATAATAAACACTTACACAATCTATTAAATGAAAAACAATCACGATGTACATATAGGATGAGCCGGGGAACAAACATCCAAATTGACTTTGAGCAATTATATTAAGAAAATCAAATAAATTATATCACAACAAATAAGAGATAACAAATAAATAACTATCTAACCATATTCAGTAAAACTCCCAACTAATTCATCATAGTAGAAATATGTTTTCTGCCGTTTTTTTAATTACCTGGTCTTTTTTGTGCTATTTAGAAAAAACTACTAAATTTAATGGTTTTTGGGGTATCGTTGGTGGATCTTTTACCAAAGACCTTTAAGCTCCACTCTACCCTATTGTTTTTATGTTACAAATTTGACAATGTATTATTATCTAATGATATGGGGTGTATATTATGAATTATAGAATTACATTTTACGATTAAATAAAGTTACTCTGATATATTCGAGTATATCTCTGCGGTGGGATTTCGTATGTGCAGATACCAGGTCAAGGTTGCGCACTGTCAGCACGGATTGTAACACTTGGATGTTATTGATTATACAACATTTATTTGAAGCTTTTTTATTGCAAGTGTTCCTTTAAACTTTTGTAGTTTTGTTAAAAGCAGACCTTGATAAATTATTAATTATTAATGAAAATTAGTATTTAGTAAAATATGATATTTGGTAAAACTATGACAAACTCGTTAAAGATTGATTTGACAATCGTGGTTTCAAAAATTAATAAAATATTTTCTATTTTTAACTTCCCCTAGGGTAACTTATTGTAATGAGCCGAAAATCGGAATTGAAATTTTTTACATTTCTTGACGTTTTGAAGGTTTCTGAACATTTTGGCATACTTCAGAAAAAATGGATGTGTGTGTGTGTGTGTGTATGTATGTATGGATACAAATTTTCGCCCACGTTTTCGGGAGTACGGATCAACCGATTTGAATGGTTTAAAAACATTCGATTCCTATTGATAAGAAGATGTGCTGATTAGTTTTTGGTAGAGGCAGGTCCAGCAGGTACGGAGATAACGAGCAAAGAGTGCAGAAAATAGAAATCGACTTTTTGTGAGAACGGAGTATCCAATTTGAATGATCTAAAAAACATTCAATTAGTAATGATTGGGAGAAGTGTTTATTAGTTTTTGGCAAAGGCAGGCCCAACCATTTCGAAGATACGGAGCTAAATATGTAAAAAATGGCAGTTTTTGAGAAAACTAAAAGCGTCCGATTTGATTGATTCAAAGAACTTTATGCTTGTCCTAACAAAATAATTGATTTTGGAAAAAAAATTGTTTCATTTTTTTTTTTTAATTTTATGTATATCGAAAATAATTCAGATTTTATTTTTAATTCTGACTATAGTTCTAATATACTTTAAACAAATAATTTCAACTTTGCATTTCAGTTTATATAATTCTTATAAATATTAGACAATGTTACAATATTTATAATAATCTATTTGAAAACATTCAGTATTCCTCGAACATTTCGTTACGGTACGGGAAGTTCCAGCAATTTGCCTTAGAGCACGATGCCACCCATCCCACTAGTTTTTAGTAGATTTTACGAAAATCTACTAAATCTATCTCATGGTCTATATTTTTCCTAAACAGGTATGATACGTAATATCTGCAATTTTATCGTATACGTATGCAAATATTAAATTTGGAAAAATGTATATATATGTGTGTATTTTATTTATATGAATTGTATATATTTACATTGTCTCGAATCTAATTAAGACATCGCTGTTGAATTCTCCCCAGGCACGTACCAGGGGCAATGGTTGCGTGGCATGCGACACGGCTACGGCGTGCGATCGTCTGCACCGTTCGGCCTGGCGTCCCACTATCGGCCGAATAAATCGCTTCGCGCCTCATTAACGTCGCTCCGGAGCAACGAAGGCGGAGCGGGTGCCGCACCCGGACAGGCGCCCACGCCTGATCCTGCCGAAAAACGAAATCATCGAGTGGATGATTCGCGCGGCGGCTTTGTTCTCAAAGCTCGCAGCGACGAACCACCCGCTCGACGAAATAGCTTAGTGGAAAAGACCAAGAAGGGATTGTTGTCGGTGAGTTTCCGTAGACAAATGTTTCATTAATATATATAATATGGTCCAATCTTGTTGTTGATATTAACTAAAAAGTATTTTTGAACATATCCAGACAATTAGTTCTATTATGTCGTAACAGTACTACTCCCGTAGGGACTGAAGATTCGAAAACAAAGAAGTACGGGAGATTTGGAGAAACGCGGAACTGGAGGCGCCGGTGGTTCCGGTAGTATTCGTTCGACTGCATCTTCAGCATCGTGGATGAGTACAGAATCTTCACACTCCATGACAAATGCTTCAGTTCATACAGATTCCAATGCTAGTTTTGTAGTAGAAGATGAACAATTGGATGGAAGCGTTACAGAGACTTATATGGGTGAATGGAAAAACGATAAGAGAACTGGTTTTGGTATAAGTGAACGTAGTGACGGTTTACGTTATGAAGGAGAATGGTTTGCTAATAAAAAATACGGTTATGGTGTAACCACTTTTAGGGACGGTTCTAAGGAAGAAGGCAAATATAAAAATAATGTTTTAATAACAAGTCAAAAAAAGAAACATTTATTTCTTATTCGATCGGCCAAATTCAGAGAGCGTATAGATGCCGCTGTCAATGCAGCTCAAAGAGCTTCAAAAATCGCGTTACAAAAGGCTGATATTGCAATTTCACGTACAGCCACTGCAAGGGGTAAAGGCGAACAAGCTGATATGGCTGCCGACCACGCCAAAGAAGATTCAGATATCGCTCAGGCTACTGCAAAGCAATTTGCACCAGATTTTAAGCCTCTAACCGAAAGAATACGACTGCGTGAAAAATTCCGACCTCCTCCAGACGGTGCCTTACCCGGTAAATCAATTCTTCATCAGCAAAAAGCACCAAATGAACACACAAATCAAAATGTCCCTAATAAACCTACTGTAAGTTTGAACTTATCTGATAGATATCCTTCAACGAGAAGACCATCTGAACCTCAGCTACTACAAACACAACAAACTCAGCAACAGACAAATGCTGATTACAGTATTTCTAATGACATCAGCTACGCTTCACAAAATCAATCATCAGTATCACAACATAATCAATATAACAAACAAGACTCAGCTATGCACAACGAAGCTCCGTATGAATCGCATAACATTCGAGACTCACAGCAGCAGCTAATGGGGAACAGTATAGGACCTGGTGGACATCCTAGTTCGAATTTGCGTAGGAATTCAAGACAAGTGGGAGAAAGACCGAGTTTGGTGCAACAAAGTTCTATAGATCATTTCGATCATTACAAAAGGCCACCATCACGAGATTCTAGTGTGGATCGGTACACGCGCGCAGCTAGTAGACTAGGAGGAGTGCCTTCTCGTCAGCCATCCATGGACCGAGGAGCTACGAGCCCGCAAGATATACTAGATCGTGGAATTCGAGCCGGATCAGCAGTAAGAGGAACTACGCCGATGCCGAATCAAATGCGTGGTACAACGCCTTTGCCAGGTAACTTATGTACGTTGACTCTTTTTATCTAACTTTCTGCATTAATCTATTTTCACATAACATGTATTAGGATTTCGTACGATCAAACTATGTTATTATTGTTGAATTTATTAAATCTACAAATACATTTATATATCTATCATTAACTAATAATTTTACATAATCCAACAACTTTATTCTAACAACATTTCAACAACGACATGCTTATTAAAACAACTTGAATAATTATGTCCTACGGTTTGCAGGTAATGGTTCTGTAATGACCGGAGGTGGAGGTTCGCGCGGCACGACTCCATTCAATAATGTCGGTTCCAAGGCAAATTCGCCACCACCATCACAACCGCCATTCGAAGATGTCCTGCTGCGTAAGCGAACTCTGGGCCAGGACATAATACCTTCGCCTGGACAGCCGAAACGGACCGAGAGTCTTTATATTTCACCTGTAAAAGCTTCTGGAGGCGGTGGCGGAGGAGGGGCAGTAGGGAAAAAGGTTAGTGATTGCATAATGTAATTATGTGTTTTATTTTGTTTTTTTTTTTATTGTGTGCGATTAATTGCATTTTACAACACCTGAAGAATGTTTGTGTGTTACACCAAATAGGAGTTTAAAATAATATTTGCACCTTTCATTTGAAATCGTACGGTCTGTCAATTTCTATATATCAAAATAATTAGAAATATTCGATTTGGTTTTATATTACCTTTCAAACATTATGGATCTAATTCTAGCTGACATATTTATGCTACAATGCTCCCATATATTGTCTGAAATAATTAATTAACGTTGTGAAATTATAGTGCAACAGTTACAGTTTAATTAAGCTATTTTCTGATATGGTAGGCATCCTTAATTATTTGTTTACATGTATTGGATATGAATTTCACTAACATATTATTACTCAAATTATCCATGCGAAGTTAATATAAATTTTTAATTGTCACATTCACAATTCTTGTCACTAAATTAAGTTATCACATATTCTATATAAAATTTATTATGTGATAACAACAATTGAAATTAAATATAATATACATTTTATGCAAGTTTAGTGATTGAAAACTTTATTGTATTATTAATTATCTAATTTTGTGCCAAATTTCTAAATAAATAAATAAATTAAATATATACCTTAATTTACAAAATAAATTCAAATATAAATTGAACTGTTTTAAATTAATAACACACATTATCATTATAATTGTGTCATCACATTAATGAATACTACAAAATTGATTAAATAATTTTGTTTGCAAATTTGTTAATTGAGATTAAAATTGTCATCATTACCAATTGATTACGGAGTCTCTCCGGAGAGGCATGTGTAACTAATTCCGGTTAAGTTAATTACTCAAATGCTGTTGCATTGTGTTTTGCCAGGGCCTTTTATCTAATTGCTGTCAGGTCAGCAAATAACACGATCGACCCTTGAGAAAACATATCATACAATATTTTATGCACGTGTTTCAAACAATCGTAATTTCATCCATTTGAATAATTGATTTAGAAGTTTATATTACGAAATACGGAGAACTAGGAATTAGGTATTCGAAATCAATAAGATGCCAACTCTTTGAATTTATATTTTAAAACTAAAGTCAAAAATTGTATGAATGGGGGATATATATGTATGTATATATATATATATATATATATATATATATATACATCAAATAAAAGGCTAAGATTAATGACTGTATTCTCGCATCATAAAAAAGTTTGGTCCAAAGGGTTCAAATAGCACCTCTACGCACTTTATCAAGTATATTATATTTAAACCGTCAATTATAACGAATTCGTGATAAAATAAAAATCACATTCTTCAGTCCGGTGGGTGAACTTGTCATTTGTGAGCAGAGAAGGGCGATTTGCCAAAAATCTCGCTTCATAATCGCTGTAGAATGCGGAGACTTTTTAGTTTTCGTTCCCGAGCCAGCGCCTCGCGTCCTCGCCGCGAACAAATGACCGAATGCAACAAATAATTCCGAGCATTCCATTCAGGGACGAACATGCGAGGCACTTGCTAAAAAACTTTGCCTGATGAGGGAATTGAGGATTTTGTATTGTGTTTCAGTCAGTTTTCGATTCAGTATGAGTCAAATCATAGCTTTACAACATTAATTCGATATTAATATTACAAACCTTCACCAAATCATACTTTTTGTTTTCAAATATCTTTCCGATTTCACCCTCTTACTAGCATATTAAAAGTTTGATTGAAATTCAAAAATATATTAATCGTACTTTCTAATATGTTATCACTTCATATTCCAATTTTTTATTCATAAAAATATTCCACCTTGTCAAATTGAATTAACTAACAAAAGTTATTTTATGACATGTTTTTACATTGATAGGTATACGAATAAACCGTATTGTTGATGATTACAGACTTACGCTACATTAATCATGAATACTATTGTTATTATGTATTTAAATTTTTAATAGTATTTTGATGAGGTATTACTTTATTTAAACACATATATATTTATTGAGCTAAAAATAAGCAAGAATTATTTAATTCAAAAATCACTTTCATATCTAATTTTATATTATACTGTTTGTTTTTTCAATATCACTCCGATTTATATATTCCAATCTTTTATTTAGTTAAGAAAAACCCTCGTTGTTAAAATAACTCATAACTATTTTACAAAAATATGTATATTGATAGGTATACGCATAAACCAGATTTATGCTATGGTAACCATGAATAACTACTATCTTCTATTATGCATTTCAATTTCTTTATAGTGTTTTTATTAACCAACCGAAAGTATTATTTAATTTGCAAAAGATTTGTCCATTTACTAAAAAAGTAAATTAAGTTGGTTATTTTAATAAGAATATATATAAAAAGTTAAGTGCACATCTTGCGTATTTTCAAGCTTCTAGAATAGTTATTAGTTTCTGTATGTTATCAAAACGCATAATTATTAACGGATATGATAATATTTTATTAGCTTCTTATTTCAGTCATATAAACAACATTTTTCAGTCGGTGTGCCAAATTCTTTGAATGCCTTGATTCTGCAGTCTATAAATACATCAATTTAGTAATAATAATGAAATAAAGCTTTTGAGCATGTGGAGTATTCAGAAACTAAATGTAATTGTTATATTTATCTCACAAGATACCTTAACATTTAGCAGAGGCTTGATTAATCAAGTTAGTTTTTAGCGTTAGACTTAAAAATCAGAATTTCATATAATCGAATAAGCAACATTTGAATATCTTATCGCCCATTCTTGTATATAAATTACAAGATATTTATTATTGAAATATGAATACAAGCTTATTAAGGAGTTACAGATTGAATTGTTTATTAAGACATTGTTATGCATTCAAATAAGGCGTCCAAGCGTGTTTGTTCACAACGTTTAATAAATTATTTGTGAATGTATACTAAACCAACTAAACTTCAAAAATAAATATGGCAAGAACAGCGCTTTCGCTTGCTAAAATAAACTTGCTATTCGTGTAAATAAATTTTCCTGAATGTTATCATCTACAATGGGTCGTCCTCCGCCTTCGGTTAGTACAATATAGCTTGTACATAATCGCACATTATATTCTCACATTGATGCTGTAGCCTCGTCATTGCTATTAATATTATAAAACTAAACAGAGGTCTTAAACATATGTGGCGCTGTAACGAGTTGATCCATATCCACTGTAATGCAAGTAAGATATCATACATACAACATTTTCAACAAAATGATATTTTACATTGCCTTAATCAAAAGTTCAATAATTGTTTATGATTAAAACAATAGATTTAATCTGAATGTTAAAAGGTAACCAAAACTAAGACACCCTAAACAGAAAATGGTAAATAATTTACCCGCCCTGCTGTATGTGAAAAGGGTATTTATTATCTATGGTTAGATTTCCTGTGCTGTGTATTACATATATAAGATTATATTGCATTAGAAGTTATTTTGCTAAGGTTTGTTTCTTCGATAGGAATAATTATTTTCAATTACTCTAATTATCGATTCCGTTATCCATTTCTATTGAAGTTAGGAACCGCTGCATCACATATTACCATCTGACCAGTCGTCGAGCGAAACTCCGCGATTAGTACAAGTGTGTATAAATAAAATCTCGCAAGCCTCGATAATATTGTGGCGTTGCCTAGAAATTATCAAAATAACCAAAACCGACATCTCCGTTGGTGGGGCGGCGCGTGGGCAAACGCCTGGTCGAGCAATCGCTTCTAAAATAAAACTTATAGAGCAGCGCCATCGATCAGAACGCGGAAGTGCTGCAAACTAAACAATTTTTGGGGTCAACCTGCAGCAGTTATGTTTGGAGTGCGGCAAAGGCAATAACTTTCACCGAAGTTGTTAGATAATTTGTAAATAAGTTGAGTGCACATTGTGGGAGATACAAGCTGCCACTGGTGGATGTTTGTTGAAGGACCTTTATAGTGTTTTGTTGAATAAAGTGTACCCAATCTTTTATTAAAATATAATGCTTATAAAATTTAAAAAAATAACAATATTACCTCGACATATTCGCTATCTAAAAGCTTAAATTTTATAATCTAGATAAATGGCTTTACTACATTTGAAAATGCCAAAGGTTTCACTTATATTTTTATCTGAAACATTTATGGAAGTTTAGTTCAAATTGTGATAATGACAAATCTGTGAAATCAATTTCTAACCAAAATGATGTGGTACCAAGGAGATGACGATGAAGAAGAAGATCTCATGTTCTCTCCAGCTCTTCTCGCGAGAAGGGCGTCGGAGAGCTGGATTGTAACGCCGCCGGTGGAGGTGAAATTATTGAATAATATGTATTTCAGAATAAATATTATAGATCAGTGGAAAACGACCGTTATGTTATCAAAACAAAACGATCAATATCTAAAAAAATGATAATGAGTCAGTTTGCGAATAATAGTTGGCGAATAATAATAAACTAAATCATTCGTAGTTTATGTAACAATATAACTGTTTTTAATATCTAATTGTATCGTTTGCGATACGAATTGTTTGTGAGCAATGCAATTATTAAAATTAATTTATAAATATTCAATATCCTCTCAAATTCCGAATTTAACCGTTGTCCCTGTTCGGTCTTGCCATGGCTTCAATGGTCTTTAGTTGATGCTTTTGCCAATAACAGTCTGCGCTATTTTGAATGTAGACTCCATAAATTTTTCAAATGTATGTATCGAAACCGTTATCAAATGTTGCTGGCTAATTCACTGTAAGGTAATAGATTTTATGCGAGTTGCTCTAGGCTTGTGGAATTGGTTGTGTCAATAATAACAAAACTCGTACATATATATTTTTTTTTAATTTTTATTTTTAATAGCAATCAGAATACATGACTATTCTATGAGCTATTATGTCATTCACTCACACACATACACACACACTTTCAAACACACATATAAATTTATCGGATCAATATTACAATCATATTTAAAGAATCACTTCAATAAGTGATTCTACTATTCTGTTCATATAAGGTTGTGGTAGTTCTAAGGTTCCTCCATATTATCTTCGGGCAGCTTCTTCTTCAGTCTTCTTGAAGTTGATGTCTCAAGAAGCTGAGTGACTATATGGTTTGAATGATGTTGTAGTTTTTGAAAGTGTTTTATACTGTTGATTAGTATTATTCTGTTTATAAAATCAATATGAAGATCGTCGTGTAAAGTTTTTTTACTAACAAACCACGGAGCATCAGTAATCTGCCTCAATATTTTCGATTGGGCACGTTGCATTAACGCTATGTTGGATTTGCTTGCACAGCTTCACAATTCAATGCCATAAGTCCATATAGGTTTTTTTACTGCCTTGTAAATTAGAAGTTTATTGTCAATGGATAAGATTGACTTGCGTCACAGTAGCTAATTCACTGTAAGGTAATAGATTTTATGCGAGCTGCTCTAGGCTTGTGGAATTAGTTGTGTCAATAATGACAAAACTCGTACATATTAAAATCAATATCTAATGATGTTATATATTCACATATTTTATGCAATCACGTTGTTATTCCACCGGTATTCCAATCATTTATTATTTCTAACAAAGCTTTTGCCAAACAACATCGATTGAATACAGCTTTAGGTAGCGTGTCCGTAGACTCAATATCTTCAAAATTTACGTTTCGACTTTCGATCTCCGCAGAGTCTGCCGTCCCAGTTGCCGCTGCAGCGTAAAAAGTCGCTGCCCGACGTGCAGGGACTGCCGCACGCCGCGGAGGCGATGTCCCGCGAAGAGGTATCCGCTCTCGGGTCGGCGAGGCGCGAGGAAGTCAGGCGCATCGCCGACGAGAACGAACGGTTGCGCGCCAATCCCTTGCTCTACCTTGTGAGTCCGCAAGTCAAGGTACGTCAGAAAACAATATTTTTCGAATTTCAAAAAAAAAACATGATGGGACAAGGGTTGATATAAATTTTAAAGCTAACTCTGTATTTTTTAAAATATGCGCAAGAGAATCTAATTATAATATAATTAAATATTTATAATAACAAGTTAATGATTTGCGTAATTTGAAAACTGATTAGTCCTAAAACTGTACTGTAGATTAGTCACTTACGAGTTATGTAGTTCTTATTGAAGTACCACTTGTTTGTTACGCAATATACCATATATACAGGGTGTTCCAGAACTCAATGCCAAGCCGCTATAAAAAAAAAATAGAAAAAGAACTTATCTCGCCTCACGTAGGTTGAAAATTGTGAGCTTTTAAGTACACAATTAGAGTTTTGGTGAAACTATTTTTTTATTATTGTGGTTAAACCATATTCATTTTGTTTATTTAAGCATTGAATCCGTAATGGTAAAGAGCATTTCTAGGATAACAGTCAAAAATAATGACACGATTGCCTTAAAGTTTAGTAAAAAATACAATCTTAAAAATAACACGAAAGGCAAACGTATTTCACTCAAATTTAGTTCAAATGTTTCTTTCTTGCACATTGGAGCTTGCGCGTACAATAATCTCAAATAAAAATTTAAATTGATTCTGAGTAAAATGCACTAGAAATATTATGTTATTTGTAGGTTTTTATTTTTTTATTCGATTTTTTTATCGTGAAACAATCGAGTATATGGTAAATATTACTATCCTGATTTTTGGTAAACTTTTCCAACATACTTCAGAGCATTTGTTTCAAAGGAAGGCTTCTCAAGGTTGACCAATTTTGAAAATTTTAAATTCATAGTTCAACGAAAAGTCTTAATTCTTAAAAACATGTGGCAATTATGTCATTATTTTTCGCTGTGATCCTAAAAATGTTATTTACGATTAGGGATTTAAAGTTTAAATGAAGAAAATAAATAAAATTTTACCATAATAACCGAATAATGGTCACATTTTCACTTAAGCTCTAGGTTGTACTTATAAGCTCGTGATTTTCAAACTACGCGAGATAAATTCTTTCTCTAATTTTTTTTCTTGATAGTTATGTTCAATACTATCACGTTGTTTCGGCTTGATGTTGAGATCTGGGACACGTGGTATATATATATATATATATATATATAATATAAGCAATAATATAGTAATGTAATATAAACCTATAAATATATCCATTCTCACGATGCCGTATGCAAGTCCTTAGTGTCTTGGAATTTGAATAGACTGCACTAAATGTTGCACAATATACTAACATATTCCTAAAAAAACAATAAAAATTAGCAATTGATATTATATAATTTAAAATGTATATCAATAACAATTAATACGCTTTCCCTTTAGAATATAATTGAGCAGATTATTTAGGACTAATTCGCATGACTTTGATATGTATATACTAACATTTTAATTTTTGAGCACCATTTTGCCTTTAAGTAATAGTGAACAACAACTTGCACAGTTTGATCTTTTTATATTATATAACACATTAGGTAATATAACTTCCTACATGTACTAATATCCCACACGTATCAAAACATAAAGATGTAAGTGTGTGATTGATAGGCAAATTCAACGTTTTTCTAATATTTTGTTTATATATCTCAAAATTATTATAGTTTACTCTACAGCTTTATATATAGTACTATGCCTTTGTTTTTAATTTGTGGTACTGTTCTGTGCACAAAATTGAAATATTACTGATTTTTAATGCTCCCTCGCCCGTCAACAGAGGGATATATAGGTATGTCATGTAATTAGTTGTAGATTTGTTTTAAATTGTATTTTATAATAATTGGTCTAAAAACTGTTTACTATTATAGCTCAATTTCATTGGCAATAAATTAAGAGACTTTCGCATAATAGATATGACTTATTTCTATTATTAACATTTAATATTGCTTTCGAATACGCTTAAAATTGATTCATATCTGAATGTAGCGAAAATGGCTCTTACTTTATAATTTTCTAAAGCTTTATTTGTATATAATTTGCCTAAACGTCGCCTCTGTTGAAGATCCTTGTAAAGATCCGATTCGAAACAGATACTTGTTATAAATGTAGCAAAAACATTTTTTGTGTAGTATTTGGCACAATTGCTTGAAACTTATGCACGTTTTATTAGTCCATGGCATGCTTAAAATAATTTACATACTAAGCCTTCGGATTTTGTCAAATCATTTTTTTATTTTATATGTTGAATTATCTATTTCATATATTGATTTCAAGTTATTATGAAAACTTTGTTTTTTTTTAAAATATGTGTAATATTTGCAATATAGGCAATGCTGGTATATTTGATGTTATACATTTTTAATTTTTTGTGCTTGTTTTTGTGATTACTGTTCGATTTTGATAATAAACATATCTTCTGTCTAGTTTAACCCATGTTAGCTCAGATTTAAAAAAAAATCTAGACTATTTTAAGGAAATAGGAAAATTATATTTTCCTATATACAAATTATTATTTTTATTATTTATATATAAATTTTTTTTTGGTGTCATATAGTTATTATGTGACGTTATAAATATAGGAAATTAATTAATTTTTGTATAAATTTGACAAATATTTTATTAATTTATAATAATGCTATAAATTATTCCTCGGGCTAATATGAGTTAAAGAGAATTTATTGGACAAATCCTAGAAATGCAAGTTTCATCTTTGAGCTATATTGGCAATAATGAAGAAATAATAAAAATCAATTTATCTCGCCTAACGGTTTTGCAGATATGTGTTACTATGACGCTAATTCGTTCGCCTATTTCTGAATAAGCTTCGGTTTGATCATGTACTGGTTGTGATTGCTTGAATCGAGAAGTTAAGAAAAGCAACTTTTGTATGAATTTCAGGACTGGTTCTCCCGTCAGCAGCTGGTCATGCTGGTCCTGTTCATCAACATCTCGCTAGCCATAATGTTCTTCAAGTTGCTGACGTAGCGGCGGCCTATCCACAACGGCCCTTTGTGGCCGCCATGATCACAGGCATAGGTTCATTACAGTCGTAAGGGAATAAATCAAATAGACTTTATTAACGACCAGCACATGTGACGCACAGCCGCGGCACTGTTGGCAATAATATAATCACAACAAAAAATAAATGCAAGAAAATCACAAAAAAGATTCTAGAATCGATCGAATTCTTCAAATCGGAAGAAACGAATTCGCCACGAAACCGCGTGACTTTGGTTTTTCATTTTTTTGGCACGCAATGGCTGAAAGGTATCGGATGCGTCCAGATAAATTTTGTCCAGTGGGCGTTTTCAGTTTCTAGTCAATCGCCCTGGCAGGAAAAGCTCTACGAGCGAGCGTATGGAAATTGTGAAGGTGTTTGTGATAATTGGACAAAAATAGTAATAGTGATTTTCCAAAATCCCCGAATTCAGCGCGCTCTGCAGGCTACTGGCGGTAGTTTTTCAGTAGCATAAATTTTTCCTATTATTAATTTTTTAACAGACCGTGATTATAGGAATTTGTATACGCTTCAGATGCGCGCTTTAGTATCTTTCTATAGCTTTATAGTCAAAAAGCACAAATTAAATTCATATGAATTGGATCTAAGTTCATCAGTGAATACAAGAAGTTGTATTCAAATAATGAAATGAAAATTTAGATTTTAATTAAAAGAAAATTAGATTTAATATTAGCTTTTTCTATAATATATGAAATTATACAGCAACATATGAAAGAAGATATTTTTACACTAAATATACCTACGCGTTTCTTGTTGCTAATGTTTTATATATATATTAGAAAAATTCATCTTGAATATCCATTTTGTAACTACTAGATTCCATAGGAGCCTTTCAAAACTTTTTCACAATAATCGTAGTTTTCTTAAAAGAAATTAATTCTTTAATTACATCTACCTAAAATTTATAAATCAAAATCTTTTGGTACTGGATATTAAAGTTTAACATTTATACTTCCAGAACCGAATTAAATTGTGATTAAAATGGCCATAGGCAAATTTCTACACTTAACAAAAAATAAAGTAACAGATGATTAATAAATCAGTCATAATAGTTTTTAGAGGCTACAAATTTGCTTACATATAATTAACATAAAACGTCAACAAATAATAATAGTATTTAAATAATCTAAATTTATTTATATTTATTATTGCGTTTTTATAAAACGCAATTTTTATTTGTTTAACAGAGTTAGGAATGTGTGCAAATGAAAAATATGTTAGAATCAATTATTTAAGGTTTGACTTACAGAATTTAATTCATGTGACCTCTGAAGTTAAATGAGGTATTTTGTTTTGGTGCTGAATCAATTTTTATGAACAATTCGATTTTATTAGTTTGGGTTTTTAAATGACCACATGGCTAATGAATAATCTACTTTTGATACTATTGATTGAAAATGTTTAAGATCTGCTAATCTAAAGTCGACCAAGTTTCAAAGTACCTATGTATTATATAGCTGTAATGTTAACAAAGGGAAAATGACAAGCCTAATTTATATTGTAAAAATTAATAATATACAGAATTAAATTTGACATTGTTGAACATTGAATTAGTAGTTTAATCTATGTTACACATTAATATGTTTATGTATATCTAATATTTTATAAATTGTTTCTAAACGTTGCGTAATAAAATTGTATGCTTTTAATTATTCTATTCTATATAGTATATAATTGTTTTCTATTTTATATATGCATGCAATCGGCTGCAGATTGAGATAATTTATCTAATGGAGTTGTATAGAAACATCATGATTTTACTACTAAGTTGTTACTATTTGTATGTAAGATGAAATAAGAAAAATCAGATTTATTTCTTGTTTACGGATTGTTGATTTGCGCGTGATGAATTATAAATTGTAATTCATCCTATGATCTATTAAACATAAAATATTTATATACTTAAGTATTTTGTTCATATTAATAAAATCATTGAGTCATAGAAATATTGGTGGTGGACTTGTTTTTTAAATTGTTTTTGATATTATTATTTTTTTTTCTTTTAGATATTTCAGTTAGTTGGTGACAAAATTGTTGAGTAAAGTATGCAATAATTAGTAAAAACAAAAACATACAGATGTATTAAATTTTTATTCAATCTTGAACGAAGTTACAACTACGCAAAAACATATTATTTCTAATCAATTTAAAAATATTTTAAATAAGAAGTAAGTATATTCTAATTAAGTGATTGAATTCGTTTATGTGAAAGTCATTGATTTATCCTTTTGTGAAGATTTATTTATGCCAATAGCATAAATTTCAATGAGGATTCCACGGCGTTTATTTGTGTTTATTTTAACTATTTTAACTATTTTAACTATTGCTTAAATAATAACGATAATCCTTTTTAACACACCATTACAGGGTTTCATCATCTTGGGACAAATCGAAATCTTTCTTGGAGAACTCATACTTTTGTTTATCCTCAAGACTCCTTTCTTCCGATTGAATCGTGAGAAGAGCAGTGGTTTCCCGTTCTTTTTCTAATGCCCCTCGCAGATAAGCAATAGTTTTATAAACCTATGTAAAAAAATATAAGATTTAGAGATCATGGTTTTATTTGTTATAATTTTGTAATTGATACTTACATCTTCTTTTGCATCATCATCTGCGACGAAGTCTTTCGAATCATTCATGTTTTGCACCTGTAGTGACTTTACTTGACCTGATGTAATAGATAAGTTTATTTAAATAAATTAAATATATATATATATATATATAATTTTATATAGAAACCATAAAAATACTACAAAGCATACGCAATTTACGAATAAGTTTGCTACCTGCATATTTAGTGATTTCTTTAATATAATTCTGTTTCTCCGTCATATATTTTTCATTGAGTTCTTTATAGTATTTTATTGTATTTTGTAAAACTAATGCCATTCTTTTAGAAGCCATAAGATCTTTTTTAAATTGTGCTTCATCGGCCCGATGATCTTGGATATACCTGTGTTAAAATTGTATAACATCTATAATAGCCAAGCTTAAATACATTTTATTTGTTTAACTCAATGATAATTTCTTTTAGTGCACATGACGAATAAATGAGCAAAGTTTCATCATAGTTTGCGACATTTGTAAATAATTGATAAGATTTCTTATCGTTAATGACTGAGATCCGCCTAATCTAATATTTGAACCTATCTAATAATTTATTTATTAGAATTAAAATTTGCCATAGTAATGCTAATATGTATAAATAATGAAATAATGAAGTGTTCCCCAAACAAGAGATCCAAATAAGAAACAAATTGTAATGTTTTAATATATTATTTAATTATGATGTTTTGGAGACTATGTACATTCCATTATTAAGTCATTTAGCAAGATCATACTAATATTAAAAAAAAAATGGATAAGGATAATTTTATTCAGAATATAAAGATGCAAAAATGAAGATATTTCTTTTTTGGACAAAGAGTGAGGATTGTAATGCTGGAAATATTAGTCTCAAAGGTAAATACTCTTGTGTGTCATCTCTATCTTTTTATGCCACTCATTGTTTTATATGATCCATTCATTCAATTAAAAAGTTTTATTATGATATTGTTGTACCTCGATTTATCTAATATAATATGATGGAACATACATATTAGTTTCCTAAATATCTTAAATTATACTTTATTAGTTCGGGATATATATATATATATATATGTGTGTGTATCTATTAATAAATATGTATGTTAATTGTAGATTTTGTTTATAATATTTTAGCACGTTATAGACATTCGGTCTAGACAAATACCTTGAATTCAGATCTGAGATACTGATACGGTTGTAGATTTGATATCATGTTTTCCGCGTGCTTTATTAGATTAAATTATGAAAAAAAAAACATTTTAAATATTGATAGAATATAAAATTATAATTAGAATTTTGGAGTGGGGAGGATGGCAATAAACCCTTTTAAAAAATTCAACAAATTTCAATATACATATATATATATATATATATATATATATATATTAATTTGGAAATATGAACAAACAACACTCTTTTTGCACTAATTTATTAAATAATAATTTTCACAAACGTTTCGAGACTAGGTTTGTCTCATCATCAGTGTGTTATAATTAAAAAAATTTTTAAAATATGGAAATCTAAATTAGCATGTTGTGTTTTTCATTACAAGTCGTACACCAGTGAACGACTTGTAATGAAAAACACAACATGCTAATTTAGATTTCCATATTTTAAAAATTTTTTTAATTATAACACACTGATGATGAGACAAACCTAGTCTCGAAACGTTTGTGAAAATTATTATTTAATAAATTAGTGCAAAAAGAGTGTTGTTTGTTCATATTTCCAAATTAATATCTATTATCCACTCAGAATACATTTGTAATATATATATATATATATATATGTGGTCTATAGAGCAGAAACACGCCTGGGAACTACTCTACCAACATTTAATTTTCAGTTATAGGAAAAGAAATAACAGAGTTTAGCATATTTATACAACAGTGAGTGGTATAAGCTAAAAGTATTACTAATGTTCTCTATAAAACCATAAATTTCCATTTCTTAAAATACATTTAAAATGAAATAATTAAGAAGAATAACTTTACTTAATAATGAAGAAGTAAGTAATTACGGTATTCCTACATCATGATCATCGATTCTACAGTAATAGAATCGATACTACAATAATTGACTATCTAATTGGTTAGTAAGTGAATGATTAAATTGAGTTTATTTTTATGTTTAATATATCATTCACATCACCAATTCATACTGTACATCTAATACAATAATGACTAATTGTTGCTCTTTTACCGCTATATATTTTTAGCCGCAGACTTTACTTACTGATTAACGGAATTTTCTTTCAGTTTAAACTGCTCGATTTGTTCATAAAGTCCTCTCCTTCGGATATCATTGCTGTTATTTTTATTTCGCATTTCTTCCAATTGACTTTCAAGTTCGTCATTCCTTTGCTGAACTTCTCTCAATCTTTTTTTAAATGCATCGCGCTCTTTTGTCTTGTCAAAGTATATAATCACATATGTACATAAATAAATAAATGCATGAATAAATCACGTATGAACATTGTGTTTGTTATCTAAATGTATTCATTATCGGCCTCGCGTGTAGATATTGTTCATAATTATAAACATAGTTTATGCTAATAATAATAATGATCTAAGATTAATTTTTGATGCTTATAGATGTATCAAAAATTAATGTAAATATGGCAAAATGATATATTAGACAGGGTTTGGAAGCAGTATGCAACAACAAATTTGATTTATTATATGAATACATTTAATGGCCAATTCTGCGGTAAAATAGACGACAACATAGCGTTGTTATTAGTATCTTTCTTAGTACTAAAAATGTGAAAATTCTAGCCAGTTGTTATACTATCAGGCGTTTTACACCCAAAACCGTGTGTTATAAATGCGCATCACAAAGAGGCAGTTATGATACCATTTTTTCTAGGTTCGTTTGTACCTATCGCATAGTATATAGATCTTTTCACAGCTTTTAGTACCAAAAAAGAATAAGATAGCGTTGCCATAACAATGTTATGTTAACGTCTATTAAAATTGGCTTCTTATATTCTCCTTACAACGCATTCAAGCATGGCTTCCTTTCCGGTGGCTTCTGCTCCTTCCTGCTCACATCGCCTCAGGGTTGCCAATGCCAACTCCAACTTTGTCCTATAATCAGCAGTTCGATGTTTTTCAATTTCTAGTTCTTGTTCTAAATCGTGTCGATTGGTTTGAGCTTCTCGTAGAGCTTTCTTTGTGTCATCTAATATTTTCTGTGAATAAGGATCGCTTCACATTTAGGATAAATTTTAATTGTAGGTTATGATGTTAATAAAAATAAATTTATTACCCTTTTCAAATCTAATTCGGAGACTATTTGAGTGATCTGCAGTTCGTTCTCAAGAACATCTATTTGATTATCTAAAGAATTCGACATTATTTTTTCGGATTATTTTATTTTGGTTAAAAAAATATAAAAATGCTTGTTATTTTCCTTCTTCAAGTGTCAAAAATTCACTGTTATTTAAAAAAAAATAGTAGAAAAAATAGCAATGAAGTTGTTTCACTTAATTAAGGAAAAAACATGAATTAGTTAATTACTTCACACTTGTCTACTGTAAGCATGCATATCTAGAATCATTTTAGAGTAGCATATACGTGTTATAAACATAAACAACATTTAATTAAAATATCATGGAAATTTTAAATTCCTTAAAGTTTGTTGTTACTAAAACTTTGTTGTTTTCGTATTTGTATATGAGCATATTTTAAATTGCGCATAATGTAGTCGACTACACGTGTTTCTCGACTGTGGTCTACACACTCTAAATTACGTATCTCATTGATGGACAAACGCATAAATACATTTATTTTGAAGTAAGATGGTTTACTTTAAGTTTTTATTCAATTCGCAAAAAAATATGATTTGATTCCAAATGACCACGTGTTTCATAGTAGTGTATATAGTATTAGTGATGGCACAGTTGTGATGTATTGAGGTCTTGAGATATATTTACTTCTGTACAGAAAAAGGGTAATTAAAATAATATTTCGTTTATATTTCGAATGGTGCAAAATGCCATGAGGCAGTACCAACGTAAGACGGTCTCTCTACGCTCTACAAATGTCGATATTGCTTTAGTGGTGACATCTTCGCAAAACAACACTATCTAAACGTCATTCACTATAAACAAAGACCAGCTGATACAAGATGCCATTTAGTGAAATTCACGCTGTTATATTTTTTCTAATATATTGTATTTTTAATTTTTAGTGTTTTAGGTGAGTTTAAACACCAGTCAGCTTTACTAAAATCTTGTACAAAACACTCGGTCGTTAAACAATGCACGCAAATATTGCGCAAATGCTTGAGCAAATATTGCTCACGGTATATTATTGATCATTGTTTGAAAACAGTTTCACTGCATGCATATTTAGTTCAAGAATGCATAATTAAATGCTTACATATGATTTCGTTTGCATCTCTGAAATATCTAATACAACACGTTTAATAGGTGACTGACTTTTGACATAAAGAAGTGTTGTTTGCACGTCATTTTTCTTGACAATGAATAATCACTATTGGAATAATATTTTGTGAAACAAGTGCAATTATTACGATTTTGGTCGTACAATGAATTCTTATGTAAAGTAAGTTTATCATATAATCAATTTAAATTCTTTCACTGAAACTCAAAATTGACTAATAATGGCCTTGGGGTTATATGAGAACCTTGCATATGTAATTTATATCTGACACCCATATGACTGTAAATGTATTTTATTATATATTCTTGCATAATTTATATTTGTTATATAGATTATTGCACCTTTCTTTTAGGATGAATGTTTTGATTCCTAATAAATGCATCAAAATGTTATAATTTCTCAAGTGATTGTATAATAAGAGTTTAGTAATTCATTAATTATCGAAAACATTTTTTTTACATTATTTTGTACTTTATTGCAGATTCTTTACTATCGAGTCTTAACCTCTACATACCCAAACTTGAATTTAAATTTTGTTTCTGCATATAATTTTGACTCCATGTTCCTACATACCATTTTAATGTCGGAAGTTGGGAAGGTGTTTCGACAGTATTTTTTTTGTTATAACTGCTGATTTTTGGGTCAACTAGGCTTCTCTCTTCCGAGTAAAGCCTAGGAGGAATATAATAACTTCCGTTCTTATTTATTCTAAGAACATCATCAACTTCAAGATGTTATACATATTCCATGTAGATACCGGTCGGATGATGACCTTTGATATGAATTTGGCATTAGAGAGGTAAATAAGTCCTATTTGCTGATATAAATATTTAAGTCTTGCTTTGTCATTTATCTCTTGAAAAATAAAGAGTGCAAAATAAAGTCTTTTGCATAAAAATTATGTATACAAATTCTTCATTTGCATGTCTATTCATATTTCAAATACCCAGCTTTCTATTTTTTTTATAGTGTGTCTCTTCTAAAAGAAATGATACAAAAAACGTGCAATATTCCACAAAATACTCAAGTGCTTTTGGTTAGTGGTGGAGAAGTCTTGATCGACAACAATCGTGTTTGCAGCTATTCGGCTGGCACTGACACTAATCCTATATATATGTTTAGTACTTCTATCATAGATGATACAATACCACCGGAACCAAGTGTTGATTATGGGCAAGGTAGTAATTTTAATATGTACTTATGTAGTAATTAAATATTACTAATACAATTCTATATTTTTATTGCAGATCGTGATCTTAGTGAGGAAGTAGAATCTTGCATGTCTCTTCCGCCAACATACAGCACTGTTGTCACGCGGGTACAGTTAGCTCAGCGCTTTTATGAATTGGCTAGAGAGCAGGAAAGAGTATGTCAAAAATTAGTTCATGATCAACATTTGCAACAACAAGGCTGGGCCGCTGTTGTTGCTAATATGGAAGATATTACAGAAGAATTCACGGAACGTGCAGCTAATTTTAATAAAAATTTTGCAGAACATTTGGAGAAAAGGGAAACCTATTTAAAATTCTTGTCACAGTAAGTATACATATTATTTTATATCAATTATTCACATTTTTAGCATTTTATTAAAATAATGTTTGTAGATATTGAATAAATTTTTAGCTATTTATAGTAAGAGGTTTATTTCTATCATAATCGAAAAATTGTAATCATTTTTCAGCTTTCGAAATGATCTGGATACCTTATCACGAATACCAATATTACCTGCGCTAGCTGTTAATTGTAAAGAACCCTTCACAGCATTTGATGAAGTACTTGCTGATAAAGAATCGTTCAGTAGCCCTGAACAAGATGCAACTCATGATGCTGAGCAAGATATTTCTAAAGATGATGAAAATATTAGTGAGGAGAGACAGAAGTTTTGCAAGTAAGTTTTTAGAAATTTGTATGAATTAAAAATTGTATCTGCAAGAAGGAATTTATAAAATTACTTTTATTTATTATGTTTTCTTCCAAGGAGGATCAACAAAAAACTAAAGAAGCTGTAACGTTACTTCATTGGATAGCTGCTAAAGAAAACCAAAAATCTTTGGAACGAATTGCAATTCAATGCACTAAGGGTTTAGATCTTTTTGATGATGAGATTCTAAATTCTATGAGGTAATACTTTGTATGAGTCATAACTAAAATTTTCAGTTATGACTTATTATATTATTTAGGAATTTTAGTTTCTTCGTAGTATATTAATTTAATAATTATATTCTTTATACTATTTGCATTATATATACTTCTTCTACAGAGTTGAGTGCAAAAATGCAGTAGATAAAGCACATCAGCCAGGTATGAGAGAAATTAAAGGCTTAGGTGATCGTTTGTTTGGTTTAGAACAACTAATGCAAGAAACAAAACGATGTGTGCAAGAACAGAGAGAATTAGCGCAAGCATTTTTAGCTGTGAGTTGTATTATTTTTTCACCACATACATCTCAATATTATATTTTTGGGGATATTTGTATTTATAACGTTTTTAACATACAACATTTTTCTTTATAATTAGAGACCTTATTGATAGAAAATATATTTCAGAATCAAAATAGAGCAAGTCATTTAGGTGATACTTCAATCTTGCCCGATTTGTGTATGTCACATCAGAGACAATTAAAAGTAATGCTATCGAACCATCAACAATTGAGAGATATTAGAAGGCGATGTACCAAGGCAAAAGAAGAACTTGGCTTAAATTTATACCATAGATTAAAGTTAGTAATGGTTTTGAATATTTTTTTATTTATGAACAATTATCCACTATCTACATGGAATATGAATAACATCTTGAACAAGATTGGGCAATTTTGTAATATTTAAAATCTATAAAACTATCTGATTGTATAAAAATTGATGATAAAATGTATAAATATTGATTCTTTCTCAGATGGATTGTTTATGTTGAAAATCGGATGTTCGAAGCTGACAACCGACTCATGTTTTACCATAGATCATTAAATAGATTACAAAGGCACTTGAGTATAGTTGAACAAATTCATCAAGCTCCCAGTATGTATATGCAAGCTATTAACGAGGTTGTTCGAAGGCGTACATTTTCTCAGGCCTTTCTAGTGGTGGGTTTATTAAATTACTTAAGTTAGATTAATTTTCAAATGACAAATAGATGTATATTTTATTCTAACTAATATTTACTAAAACCTATCATATTAGCTATAATAACACAATTTATTTACCACATTTAGTGGGCTTCTGATCTCGCCTGCCATTTATTGACCATACATAATGAAGAAGTGATGAGGAGACAAGAATTTTCAACCATGTTTGAAGGTCATTTTCTCAATGCCTTATTTCCTGGAATGGAAGATTTACCACCGTCATTTGCCACAAGAGCACCTTCTATATTTGACACGGGTTTGCCAAAAATTACTCAAGCTGATGTTCAACATCTTGGAACATTGCACCCCGATTTAGTACTAGAGAGTTCTTTACCTGATTTAACTTCAGTTCTCAATTTCTTTTTAGCCAGGTAAATATTGCACTGAAATTAAAATTAAAACAATATGTTTAAATATGGAATACAAAAATATACCAAATAATCTGATCAATATTTTTATGTAAAAATTAATGATTCAAGATATTAGCAATTCATATTATTTTGTCCTTTGTGACAATCATTACATTTTTTAAAGATCTGGCACTGCAAAATCGCAAGATAAATCTGGAACTGTTGAAGAAAGATTAGCGACTGTAGCAGATGCAGCAGGATTAAGCACTAATTTGATTTGTACTCCAGAAAATATTACAGAACAGACTGTAGGATTTCTCACAACATATGCACAACATCAGCATCTCAAAGATTTTGAACGGTATGATTTAATATTTTAATAAGAATATTTATTTGAAATAAATAAAAAATATATTTTATATTTGTTTTCACAGGGGTTTTGAATCAGAAACTGATACTGAAGAATTTGAAAAGGTTGGCCAAAGTCCTATTGACTGTCAAATATCCCAAAACATGCCAGCACATCTA